CTTTCCTGCTTATATACCTGTTGTCAATGAGATGATGTCGTTTCCAGGGGCGGACCACCTCCTTGGAGAGGCGTGCACTGTCCCTTCAAGAGGCGGTCCAGTGCTCGTGCCTGCCTCTTCCTGTACAGCTCTGGACGATGGAACAAGCGGACACCACACACAGCAGCCGTTGGGCTTGGCACTGCGCAAGGAGACCACCCGACAGCGCGAGACCCTGCAGGAGGTAACAGGTAAGTCCTCACAACATACAAAATCTTTAATGACAATAATCCTTCATTTGTATATATTAGATGTGCATGGGGTACTGTACCAAATGCTTTAGCAAAGTTCAGATGACATGTCAGCTGGTTTTCCTCGGACTAAATTACTACACACCTCTTCATATAATAATATTAGGTTGGTCTGACACGAATGGTCCTTCATAAATCTATGCTGGTTGTTACTTATATCATTATCATAGGTACACTTTTGAATATAGTGTAGAGCTCACCCCTGAAGGAGCCGCCAGAATATCCCGGGCCATCACTAGTCTGTCTAGGTGTTTTAGACAGACTAGTCTGCCCCATTAGCACTAATTTCCCTCTTCAGGTGCCCACAAAGCTGATATCCACTTCAAAAGTATAATGCTGAAGAACTTTTATTAACATCTTCACACTGGGGAGAGAGGATATAGGGATCCCAAGCATCCTGAGTAGTAGACATAGACTCCAGACTCACCAGTCCAGCTCAGTAGACTCACTCAGTAATTCAGTGTAGATCAATGTATAGCATAATTGAATAGGTATTTGAGCTGCAGGTGAACAGGGACGAGCACCAATCTTCAGCAGGAGAGAAAAAAAAATTATATACAGTAGGGCTTTCTGAGATGAGAAGAAAAACCACAATAAAGTTGAGCCAGTTTAAAAGAATTTACGAAGCTTTTATTAACATAGAAATCATTAAATACCAATGAATAAAAATAAGAACAGATCACAATTGTTAGCAGAAGATTATCAAAGTCTTGAGGAGCAAGATTAATTAGTTGCATTTATTTCTACAAAACCCCTATGGTATCAACCACAAGATGTTGAAATGTGATTCCACCAATCTTCAATTATTTCACCTGCAACGCGTTTCGTATCATCACTTCATCAGGAAGGTCAGTGAAGTAATTTGTATTACAATCCAACTGCTTGGAAAAATAATCCTCTATTACACCCTGTAGGATATGTTGCCAACCCAACAAGGAACCCTCAGGCACAAAGAAAAGGTTAATAACCGGAGAAGCACACCTCCAATCTCTTAACAGGGCATCAAACTGGTGTTCCCAGAAAACCTGCTAATTCCCCTTTATAGCTTCATTAAATGACCTTGATGCATTTCCTTGTCTGCAGTGCACGTGGCATTCCCGCCGGGTTTACTGGTAGGAAAGTAAGGAGGGACCCCAAGTTACAAAAAAATGCATAGGGTTCCCCACAAAGTCATACCAGGCCCAAGGGGTCTGGTAAGAATTGTAAGGAGGAAACCCACCCCCAAAAATGGGAGGAAAAAACAGGGGGTGCCCCTAAAATTCCTAACTAGACCCTTAATGCGAGCACAGGCCCGGTAGGGCAGGAAAGGTGGGGACAAGTGAGTGCCCCCCCCCCTCCCTGCACCCTACCAGGCCACGTGTCCTTGGGGGAGCCTGGAAAAGCACTTTGTGCCAATGGGAACCAGGGCCTCTTACCCACAACCCCTGGAGCGTTGGTTGTGGGGGATCTGTGGACATGGGGCTTATTTGCATCAGGGTACCCCCTTTAATAAAGGGAGCACCCAGATGCTGACCCTCCTTGTGAATGAGTAAGGGGTACTTGTACCCCTTCCCATTCACTAAAGGGTTAAATTAAAAAAAACAAGGTTTTTGACAATTCCTTTAACCACTTGGTGACCGGTGTTTACACCCCCTTCCTGTCCTGACCATTTCTCAGTGTTCAGCGCTGCGGTACTTTGACTGACATTTATTCCATCATACAACGCTGAACTGAAATTCATTTTATACAATTTTTTTGGGGACAGATAGAGCTTTCTTTTGGTGGTATTTAATCACCACTGCAGTTTTTATTTTTTCTACTATATAACAAAAAAAGTACTGAAAATGTAAAAAAAACAAAACTGTTTTCCTTTTATGTTAGGAAACATTTATTATTACCCAATTTTTTTGTAAAATATAAAAGGCGAGGTCACGTCGGGTAAATAGACACCAAATATGTCAAGCCCTAAAATTGCACGCGCCCGTGAAATCGCAATAAAAATAGCCAGAACTGACCATAGGCAACACTTTAAAAGGTTTTACTGCTCATCAGTTTAGTGTTATCAGTGATTGATGGCCCTAAAATGATTGCTCTCACTCTGACGTTCACAATGATATGTAATTTAAACTTTTTTTACACCTAAGAATCCCTCTATGTGATATCAAATTACAGGGATAGGTCCTCTTTATGGAGACATTAGGGGTCCCTAAGACCCTTAATGTCACCTAGGGACCCCCAAATAAGCTTATTAAGCAGAGATCTGCTTTACCAGCTTCTCCTTGTTTTTTGTAGCTGGAAAGTGACAGAGTAATGCGGAAGTGATGTAATAAACATCACTTCCTGCATTCACAGAATAGGGAGGAGATCAGAGGGAGATTGTGTACTGAACTCCCTCCGTTCTCCCTGCACAGAGCCACGATGTGGTCCCAGATAAGGCACGGTTCACAGGGAGCCTGGGATTGCGGCAACAGTGATGAGGTGAAGAAAGAGCAAATGAAGATACCACATACAAGCAATCGGGCGCCTTTACAGATGCTAGACTGCTTGTGTGTAAACAGCCATCGCTAGCTGTTTCAAATTCTGACAATTTCTCGCTTGTGTGCGCCAGGTGGCATGCACTAGCGGGAGCTGGCACAAAGGATGGTTTAAGACGCCCACCCGCATCCAGAAGGCTCCCGTCTGGCCATTTCCCCACGTTCGGTAAATGGGAGGTGGTTAATTAAAAAAATATTTAAAAATGTATCTAACGAAATAATCCACGTCAATCATGGCATCCAGCGTTGTCAATGCTGACGCTGACTTGCCAGAATAAAAAAAAGCTTCGCACCCGCCGAACACATGCCACAAAATGACCTGTATGACAGGTGCAGGCAAAAAGTAAACAAATGGACAAGCAGTGACATCACCGCTGGCACTGCCTATTTTGATTTGGCCAGCACCTGTCATATGGGTCGGTCAAAGGAAAACAACTGGGCCATGATGTCACAGCTGGCTCTGCCCAGTTGTTTACATTTGCAGGGAGAACGGTCTGCTTCAGCTGTGACTTCGGCTCAACCGAGAAGAAGCATATGCATTCAGCTCAGCTGAGCCGTTTGGTCGCCTTCGGGTGCTGTATGGGCTATTGGGAATAGCCCATTCAGCAGCCCTTCGATTCAGCTGAACTGGAGGGCTCCAGTGGCCGAATTGAGCCGAAGGATTAGCCAATGCTTTGGCTTAATCTTTTGGCTCAATAGTGAATAACCCCCTAAATTTCTGGTAGCCACTTCACAAAAGGTGATGGGGCTACAATCACCCCACCCTTGAAGACTACGCTCCGGAGTCTGGAGCATTTGCAAAAAAATAAACTCTCATCCTGAGAGTGGATGTCTAAGTGAAAATTACATGGGAAAGGGAAAGAAGGGAAAAAGTTAAACTTTTTAACAAAGTATTTTCAAGTAACATTTTAGAAAAATATTTACACCACATTACATCAAAAATTGTACAGTAGCAGACTAAGGCTGTCACCGGGCCATGAGCCATCTTGTGATAGGTACTCTGACAATAAAGTACTACCACAGTATACAGTGAAGTAGAGCCCTACTTCTATGTGACTAATTCAAACAATACTTATCCTATTCTTATAGAATACATTCCTATACTATAAACACGGCACTATCCCTGGTATCCTACAACAGCTGATCAGGTCCTCATGTGGCCCCTGTAATGAGAAGAGAAGACGCAGCAGCATACATGTATATGACATTACCTTATACCTATAACTTATATACTATGGGTATAAATCAAAGTATATACAAATCCATATCCTAAATGTACATGAGGCCAGAGCCTGACTCCCAAAATAGTGAAACTCTGCTCTCCCTGCAATCAATCCTATCTTAGGAAGTCCATCCCAGACTATAAAGAAGTATATATACAGTTGATGATCCATATTCCAGCCGGTATATCCCCTTCACACGAAGTCTAAGAAATCAATTACTGTATTTGCTGGCGTATAAGACTACTTTTTATACTTAAAAACATCCCCCGAAAATCGTGGGTCGTCTTATACGCAGGGTATACAATGTATACCTTTAGTTCGTTTAGGCCAAGCTGGCCCAAAACGAACATCCCTAATCGGTCAGCCCGCTGGATGTGCGGTAATACTGTATGTACGGTAGCTTCGGCTACATACAGTAGCTGAGCCAATCACGGCGAGCGATGTACACAACCTCTGCCAATCCAAGCAAGCTTTGTATTCATTAACCTCTTGCCGTCCGCCCGTAGTAAAAAAACGGACGGACGGCACTGCAGATTGCTCGCCATGATTGGTTCAGCTGAAGCAGCAAATATGGATACTTATCCTACAATCCTAAACTATCTGTAGAACACACTATAGATATTTGGATCAGGTAGAATGAAACTGAAAGTTCAAGTCTATTGTTCCAAAAAAATAATTATTAGAAACAACAAACAAAAAATGAGACAAAAAGAAACAAAAAAATGGTTCTTCTTGCTGTTGTCCAGTAGTAAAGGGTCCCGGCCGTAATGGGGCCCGTCACCGAACTCCCCCTGCCCTTTTCAACCGCATAAATGGAGACATGGCTGCTTTAAAGCAGCGACGGTAGTGTCGCCCGCCTCCCGGGCCCTCCAGGTACTGCCGTGGCCGCTTTAACACAGCCGCATCTACTTACAGCGGCGCGGCAGAGAGGAGAAGAACCCAGATCTAGGTGGGCGTGTCATTCCGGGGGCGGGATGTCTCGTCGGAGGGTGGACGCGGTCACGGTCCTAACAAAAGTGTGGCTGCAGGAGGGCCTCAAGCTGGGGGGCTCTACCGAGATCCAAGCCCAGGCCCCAGGCTGGGGGAATGGTGCCCTCATCTGACCCTGGTGAGACCTAATTCTGTGCTGTGACCCTGCTGAGCCTCCCCGCACATGACTCTGGGGAGACCCCCGCACCTGACCCTGCAGAAACCCCCCCCCCTGACCCTG